AGACAGGCTTTCTCTGTGTAGCCTTGGCTGTCCTGGAACTCACTCTGTAGACTAGGCTGGCCTAAAACTTAGAGATAGCCTGCCTCTGCCAAGTGCTAGGATCAAAGGCGTGTGCCACCACCACCTGGCTGTTCCTTCAGATCTTAATGATTATTTCAATAATTGTATAGAATGCTTTATCTCAGAGTACGTACTGACAAGAACCTATATAATTCCACTCTCTTAGTTAAGGCCATGAACCCTTTTAAGTTAGTTTATCCCTGACTTGTACTTAAAAAAAAAGCTTTCTTACCTTCTCCAAGGACCAAGCACTAAGTTTATTTATCAGATGTTAGGGTTCCTGCAAGCATCATGGCAGACAAGAAAATGATCCAGGTGAAATGATAAATGAAACTCCGGTCAGAATGACTTTAGTTAGTTGCTGGGTCAAAAACGTCTTGAGTCTGACCAAGCAATTTATTTTTCTTACACATTTAAACACAGGAAATCTATTAGAAAAGGTTTCCATGAGACAGTTATCACAACAAAGGTTTGACATTGAAATTCCCTTGCAATGTACATGTCTTTAGGGAAGCACCTCTGACTTACCATAAGACAGGGTTCTTATTCACAGAGAAACAGTGTTCAGGATAAGGGCCTAAGTGGAAGGTTTGTTATAAGCATTAATATGGATTTTATTAGACAAGAATGCAAAGTACTTCGGACCTCTTTCATAGGACGAGTTTTATTCACTGAGAGACAAAGCTCAGGATTAGGACCTAAACAATGCTCAGGATTTGTGGGGGGGAGGGGTTCAGGTGAACGCTAATCTATAGAAGAGCAAAAGATCAGCAGTTTGTTAGACAGCATCTACTGCAGGCTTCCAAATGAAAAGAGATTGGTCATTTTCTTCCCTTGCAAAAACAATGCCAGCATGTTTAACAATTCTGATTCCTCTAATGCCTTTCTGTAAGCTATGCCTTCTATTCCCTTAGTCCCTTCATCAGGGCCTCTGAGAAAGTCTTAGTCAGTGTAGCTCCCAACAGTAACTAACATCATTCTGAATTTCCAAATTATAAATTATGAACTAGCTTAATAGTTGTGATCTTGTTTTGTCTACAAATTCTTCATTTGTTATTGTTCTACCCCTTGGCTGCTCAAACTCTTGTCCCTTGGTGCACCATCTCTGTCATCATTCTGTACATGTTCAGGAAGCCAGACCTGAGCCTAGTGGTAATGCATCAGATCTGCATCTTCATTTTTTTTCTCATTTATGATATTATATAATATGTTGAGAAGTACCTTCTCCATGACCATTGCTCTCTCCTGTGAGAAATTTACATTGTGCGTGCTATATTGTAATATAAACCTGGGATTCTAAAGTATTTTCTCCAAAATTTTGCTATTCATTTATTTTTTGTTTATGAGTGTTTTGCCAGCCTGCATATCTAAGACATTGTCTGGTTGTCTCTAACTGGAGTTATAGACAGTTGTGAGCAGTGATGTGGCTGCTGAAAATCAATCCCCGGTCCTCTGGAAGAGCAACCAGTCCTCATAACTGCTGAGCTGTCTCTTCATCCACAAATACTGTTTTGTAGATGCACTTACTCCATTTTATGGTTCTTAAAACTACAATATCCATAGGAGTTTCTAGTATGTTCTGCCATCCACTTTCCTTGACAATGATGAGTCCTTCTAAAATCCCAGCACCATATTACAAGTATTTTAGGAGCACTTTCCAGCTCTCCTCTGGGTGAACCTTAGAAATTTCATACAGAAGTAAATGATGGCTCTTGGTATTTATGTTATTGGTGGTGGTTGTAATTAGTTTATGTATAGTATTCATTCCTTTTTATTTCAGGATCTGCTGTCATTCTGGGATGTGGCCATTTATTTCTCTGCAGAGGAGTGGGAATGCCTAGGTCCTGCTCAATGGAATTTGTACAGGGATGTGATGTTGGAAAATTTCAGCAACCTTGAGTTCTTGGGTAAGAAATACTTTCATGGTGAATTTTTAATTCACCGTAATTATAAAACTTTTTTCTTTGTATAATATCTCATGGGAGCTTGTGCTTCCAACAATGAGGTTCACTGAGTACTTTTAAGGAAAATTAAGGAGAGTATTTATATACCTTAGAATGATTTTATTTCTTCTTGTGTTCCTAACCCTCCCTCCTTTAGAAGTATCCTTTATATTGGTGATAATGTTATAAAGTAAGTGGCATGAGCAAGGGACATACACATAAAGATAATTTCCTTGTAACTGAAGGTTGTGAGGTTCATGACCTGCAAATCCTAAATTCCACCTAAGCATTTTGATGTGTTCATCAGAAAACACATGAAGAACTAATCCTCTACTCTTCTTTATTGTATCTTCTCCTTCCTTATGCATACAATCCTGGACAAGAAATGTTATTTCCCAGGAGAACCTACTAACAATGTGATTCCCTTCCCCCATATACAGGTCTTGCTTCTTCTAAGCCATACCTGGTCACATTTCTGGAACAAAGGCAAGAGCTTTCAGATATGAAGAGACAAGTAGAAGCTACCACAATATATCAAGGTATGTAGGAATGAGGGGGTCAGAGTACAGAGTAGGATTTCAGAAGATCCAATAGAAAGCCGGGGCTCTATCATCAACATTCTTCTAGTGGAAAATATTTTTTAAATATCTCCTTTTCTGTGTTTTGCTGTCAAAAGACTACATTTCTCAGATGTTTATGACACACCAAGTCTTCTAAACTTTTTCTCCTCCCATGAAGTCAGCTTGTGTTACAGTAACTGCCTAAGTTCTGTACTTTTTTTAGGTGAACTTGATTTATTTTTTGTAAATTGATTACTGGATATTTATTTCTTCATTAAGTATGCATAAATTCTCCTGTCTTATATCACTGAAATATATTATTTATTACCATTATATACAGTCTTCATGTTATGCAGTCTAAATTTCATACTTTATAAAACTAAAAGTCTGTACTTAGGGCATATATAAGTTCTAAAACACCTGTCTTCCAAGTTTGACGACTTTTATATTTCATGTTTAACTAGTCATAAGTTTTCTATATTTGTTTAAGGAGCTCATTTAGATTAAAATAATACTCTTCAGTGTTTTCTTAATTGTTGATGTTATGTCTTCCTTACATTTTTGTCTTTGATCAATATTCCTTTCTTTCTATGTTCTATGTTGTCATGGTCTTCATCTTTCACTGCAAGATTATCTGATTTCTATCTATTGTGTTTTTTGAATGTAGTTTATCATTTATATAGAAAAATACAAGTATGAGTAAATGACTTTGTTTTTAAAAACAAATGTAAATATAAAGAATTTTGCTCAGCTTTCATTCATTTCTCAACATTTACTCACCAGGAAACAAACACTGTACAGGCAAAGCTGTTCATTGGAACTCAAAAGCTATTAACCACCAGAGAATTAATTTAAGAATGAAGCCCTATAAGTGCGAAGAATGTAGTAAGGCCTTTCGTTTTCCATCACTACTTTCTGTACACAAGAGAATTCATACAGGAGAGAAACCTTTCAAGTGTGATGTGTGTGGCAAGGCCTTCCATACATCACCATTACTTTCTATGCACAAGAGAATTCATACAGGAGAGAAACCCTACAAGTGTGAAGTGTGTGGCAAGGCCTTCTGTTTTCCATCACTGCTTTCTGAACATAAGACAATTCATACAGGAGAGAAACCCTTCAAGTGTGAAATATGTGGCAAGGCCTTCCATGCTCCATCATTACTTTCTAAACACAAAAGAATTCATGCAGATGAGAAACCCTACATATGTGAAGATTGTGGTAAGGCCTTCCATATTCCATCATTACTTTCTGTTCACAAGAGAATTCATACAGGAGAGAAACCCTTCAAGTGTGAAGTATGTGGCAAAGCCTTCCATGAGCCATCATTACTTTCTAAACACAAGAGAATTCATACAGATGAGAAACCCTACATATGCGAAGATTGTGGTAAGGCCTTCCATATTCCATCTTTACTTTCTAATCACAAGAGAATTCATACAGGAGAGAAACCCTTCAAGTGTGAGGTATGTGGCAAGGCCTTCCGTGCTCCATCATTACTTTCTATGCACAAGAGAATTCATACAGATGAGAGACCCTGCAAGTGTGATTTATGTGGCAAGGCCTTCCGTGCTCCATCATTACTTTCTAAACACAAAGGAATTCATACAAATGAGAAACCCTACAAGTGTGAAGTATGTGGCAAGGCCTTCTGTTTTCCATCACTGCTTTCTGACCATAAGAAAATTCATACAGGAGAGAAACCCTACAAGTGTGGGGAATGTACAAAAACTTTCTGTAAAAAGTCATACCTCGCTCGGCACAAATTAACTCACACTGAAGAGAAACCTTACAAATGTGAAGAATGTGGCAAACTGTTAAAAAATACTAAAAACCTTAAGAATCATCAAAGAATCCATTCTGGAGAGAAAGCCTACAAGTGTGAACAATGTGGAAAAGCCTTCTCTTTTCATTCGGACCTTTCGCAACACAAATTAGCTCACACTGGGGAGAAACCTTACAAATGTGAAGCATGTGGCAAACTGTTCTACTGTACTAAAAACCTTAAGAAGCATCAGAGAATTCATTCTGGAGAGAAACCACACAAGTATAGAACACTTGATAGTTTAAATACAAGGTAGTTCAAACTAAAATGAAATAGTACAAATTTGAAATTTTTCATGAAATGTTTTGCACTTATTCAGTCCTTTAAGAAAATTCTGAATAGAAGGCCTACCAATATGGGTAATGTGGTAAAGCCTTTGAAATAATTCAATCCTTACACAGAACAAAGGAGTCCATAGTAGAAGGAAGCCATACACGTGTGAAGAATGTGATGATGTACTTTGCCATTCAGTCAACTTTTTCTGACCTCCTTAGAATTTATCTCAGCAAGGAATACCATAACTGTGAATGGTGTGACAATGCTATTCAAAACTCCTCACACAGAAACCAGCAATTCTTAGCCTTCTGCAACCCTATAATACAGTTCCGCATGTTCCTCAACCACCTAAGTATTTTCATTGCTCCTTCATAACATAACACTTTGCTACTATAATGAGTCATAATGTAAATAGCTGTTTTCTGGTCTTAGGTGGCTCCTGTGAAAAGGTCATTTGACTCCCAAAGAAGTTGTGACCCATAGGTCGAGAACTATTGCCCTAAACAAATGAAAGTATTCATACTGAGCAGCAACCGTATTAATTCTGTAGGGTGTTAAGAACATTTTATTTTTCAGTCAGACCTTGCTGTATATCAAAGAAGTCGCACACACAAGACTCTGCAAATGTACAATATGGCCAGGCATTTAGCTGCTCTTCATGCCTGTATCCATATGATAGGACTTAAACTGGTACATGCACTACAGATCTAAGATTATGACAAAACTTTTACCTGACTTTCATGTCAGAAGTGTTTTCTGAGTCTTTATTCAGAAGCATTTTCTGAGTCTTCATACTAGTGCGAAACTCCATATACCCAAATAATGCAGAAGAGTTTTCAATGATATTTCTAATCTTCATTAACACCAAAGAATATTTCTTGATAAATTCTGCAAATTCTGATGTCCTGTACTGCTCCTGCTTTCAACTTCACATAGAGAAGCAATATGTGAAAGTTCCAATTGGGTAGATGACTGGATCTGTTTGGCTCATGGGGCATGTCTCTGGGTCATTTTTAGAAACTAATTGATGTAGGAGAATCTAGACCACTGGGTGATGGCAGTGTATATTGCATGTGCCACTCTTGACCAGCTGGTCCTGGGTATATGAAAATGCTGGCTAACCCCAAGCCAGCGTGAAGACAGCCGCATTCCTCCATGGTTTCTACTTCACCTACTGCCTCTAGATTCCTGCTGTGCTCTCTTTGGCTTGGCTTCCATGGATGATGACATGCAACCAATGAACTGGCATAATTCCATTTTTCTTAGATTTTGTTCATGACACTTATGGCAATAGAAATCAAACCGAATAAAGAATGTTGCAAGACTTCACATTTTATTTATGCCTTAGTTAACATAGGAGCCTCCATACTGCAGACAATGCCACAAAGCTTTGAGGTTTCTTCAATGTCAACTTTGCCCTAGAATGTTCACATGGGGGGGCAGTTACAAAGATTGATTAAAAAGACTTTAATATTTATGAGCAATTGAACACCAAAAAGGTCATACTATGAATCCTGTAAAACAAAGGAAACTCAAATCAAAACACGGAAAACTAGTATTTAAGAAACTATTACAAACACCAATGATAGGTTACTTGATACACCATCAAATCAGGACATTTCTTTTGTTCAGAAAACCTAGAGATACAAATAATGTTGAATGACTTTAAATTCATTCCATGATGAACTATGAGTGAATTCATAGTATTTAGAGACCTACATAGGAAGATGGAAGTAACTTTTTCAGCATACTCACTTCATAATGACAGATTCCTATAGCAGAAAAGATTATGTGAAGGCAAGAGTGTAGCAAAGTCCTCCATCATCCCTTATATGGACTAGAGGGAACTAGATTAAGAGATAATATTGCTGGTATGGAGTAGTGGAAAATGTGAGCCAATGTCTGGAATTAAAGTGACATTTAACGTGCTGGGAAGAAACAAGTTATGTATCTCAAAATCATGCAGATCACTGAACACTGAGGGTATCGATTTGCCATGAAACCAAAAGATTACATTACCTAGGCTATTGGAGGTGCCAGTTTTATGAAGGATGGAAGTACAGGATCTATTAAGGTAAGCTACAAGCAATTGGTGGAGCATGCCTAGTAGAGAGGCTAGTTATCTTTCAGGTGAAGCTGGAAGGGTGGGGCCACATAAGTTGTTTGGAGTCAACCCAGTGGCAGCAGAATTACCAGTTGTCGAAAGTGGAGCTGTCAGATTGTGTGTTTGTCTCTCAGAGTTTGGTCTGACCCTTCCTTGCTGTGCCATTTCTCCATCTTAAGAGTAGGAATATTGTTCTTTGCCAGGGTGTGGTGGAGGTAGTCGCCTGTTCTCCTGCCGTAGGGACTCACAGGTAAGAGATTGCCCTGAGTCTCACATGAAACGTGGACTGGGGTCTTTAAACTCCGGGAATCAAGTACTTTGTAGACCTTTGCTGTAGGATCCGATTTTACTAGTGAGATGAGTGTAAGGTTGGGGAAGAGGGAAGAAATGTTACGTTATAAAGTTATGCAGCTGGAGCCAACACTATGGCTTTAGGAGAAAACTAGATTGCCAACAAGACCTACAACCTTATTTGTATCCCCAGGACAGACAAAATAGAAAGGAGGAATTACCTCTGACCTCCATTCTTGGGTACATACATACATACATAATATGCACACTCAAATTTCAAATATATTTTTAAATTTTGTATTCATGCATGCAAAGAGTGAAGATGTAATGCAGAAGTCTCCGTTGTTAACACAATGAGATGTAGAATCCAGCGAGAGACAAGCCTCTGGTAATTTATTTGCAGTGGTTTGACTGAGATCGAGCATAGCATTAGAAAGAGAGAACATGCTAAGAGCAACCATTCATCTATTTCCTTCTGCTTCCTGACTGTGGATTGAATATGACCAGCTGATTCTCACTCCTGTTGTCTTAACTTTCTCACCATCTGTGGTGGTTAGAATAACAATTGCCCCCAAGGGCTCATAGATCTGAATGTTTAGTCATCAGGTAGTAGCAGTACTGGAAAATGATTATGAGGTGTAGCCTTGATGAAGGAAGTTGGGGATGGGGTGGTACTTTTAAGTTTCAAAAACCAAATCCAGGCCCAGTTTCTCAACTCTTCCTGCTCCCTACAAATCCAGATGTAGAGCTCTGAGCTACTTCTCCAGCACCACTTTTGACACTGTGATACACTATGGACACTTTAGAAGTTGAACTGAATGCATTTTTACATTATGATATGGCTACAGGCTATGGGAGCCAGGGAGTGAAATGTAGTTTTTAGAATAAGAATAGCTGCCATAAGACTATAGCTTTTAATGCCTAATCATCAGGGAGTGGCACTAGTTGAAAGATTAAGAGGTATGGCCTTTTTGGAGGAACTGTGTCTCTATGGGTGGACTTTGAGGTCTCAAAAGCCAAGCCAGGCCCAGTGTCTTGTTCTTCATGCTGCCCATTATCCAGGTGGTGAACTTTCATCAACTTCTCCAGCACCATGTGTGCCACAGATCTCCCTGCCATAATGTACTAAACCTCTTAATACTGTAAGCAAACCCAAATTAAATGCTTTCTTTTTTTAACTTATTTTTTAAATTTTTTAATTGAGCAAATGTTTTTATTTTCTCTTTTAATTTTATGTATATATTTATTTACTGCAATTTATTCACTTTTTATCCCCGCTGCAAACCCCCCCTCATCTCCTCCCAGTCCTACCCATCCTTCCTATTCTCTCCCTATGCCCTTTCCCTAGTCCCCTGATAGGGTAGGACTTCATCCTCTTCTATCTGACACTAGCTTATCAGGTATCATCAAGGCTGGTTGCATTATCTTCCTCTGTGGCCTGGCAAGGCTACACCCCACAAGGGGAGGTGATCAAAGAGCTGGCCACTGAGTTCATGTCAGAGACAGCCCCGGTGCCCCTTACTAGGGAACCCACTTGGAAATTGAGCAGCCAGTGGGCTTCCTTTAAACAGGAGGTCTAGGTCCTCTCCATGCATGGTCATTGGTTGGATTATCAATTTCTGCAGGCCCTCTGGGTTCAGGTATTTTGGCTCTGTTGTTCTTCTATAAGGACATTTGCTCAACTATGTTCATAGCAGATTTATTTGTAATAACCAGAATCTAAAAACAGCCTAGATGTCCCTCAGTGGAGGAATGGATACAGAAAGTGTGGTACATTTACACAATGGAATACTACTCAGCAAAATTTAAAACAAGGAAATCATGAAATGTGCAGGCACATGGTGGGAACTAGAAAAGATCATCCTGAGTGAGGTAACCCAGAAGCAGAAAGACACATATGATATATAGTCACTTAGAAGTGGATATTAGCCATATAGTATAGAATAAACATACTAAAATCTATAGTCCTAAAGAAGCTAAACAACAAGAAGGACCCTGGGGAAAGTGCTTAATCCTCAGTCAGAAGGACAAACAGGATAGACATCAGAAGTAGGAGAAGACAAGTAACAGGACAGGAGCCTTCCACAGAGGACCTCTGAAAGACTCTACCCACCAGGATATCAAAGGAGATACTGAGACTCAAAGCAAAACTTTGGGCAGAGTGTTGGAATCCTTATGGAAGAAGAGGAAAATAGACCTGAAAGGACAGGAAATACTTTCTTTTTTAAGAGTTTTCCTGGTGTCTCTTCACTGCAATAGAACATGGACTAGGACACCATGGTAGTAACCTTGAACCATGATCTAAATAAAATCTATTCTCCTTTAAGTTGGTCTTGTGAGCAAATGTTACCATTGCAGCAGGAACAGTTACCAAAGCTGCAGGCCAAACAATAAAAATTACGAAAGTATCCATGTTATATTTAATGTATACCCATACTACTATGTTCTCTCAATTTCCCTGCCTTCTGCCAACTTTACATTAACCCCTCTCTTCCAAAAGTGGTCCCATTGGAGTTATGTTACTGTGCATTGTGTAAAGATTATCCTTGTA